CAGCAGGGAGGTAGTAAGACAAGACTTTATCACCCCCATTTTGTCTGGTACACAGTCTCACATAAAGTAGTTGATGTCAAACTGATGCTGTAGTAGTGATGAAAGAAGCTAAATGATCAAAAGAATACTGCGTTCAGCTGAGTCTACAGTTCTTTCTCTGTTAAAGTGACATCAGTGTTTTAAGTCTAGCCAGCTGTCAAAAAAACCAACATGTCTTTATTCTCACTATTTTCTCCTTAGGAGGGTTTCAAGAAGGCGCTGAAGATGGTTGGGGAGGAGTTCCTGGACCGTCTGGATTTCTACAAGTCCTCCTGGCTGCCAGCTCGTGAGGTCGTGGAGGAAGCTGTTAAGAAGAGGCATCAGGTACGAAACTGCCCATTTTGCTTGATTCTGTTTATTTTCTTTATTTGTTTGCACCAGCAGCAGTGGGCCTCTTATTACTCTCATGGTTATCTGGTTCACGGAGGGAGTCCACCTCCTCCTGCTCTTCCAGGAGGACACTGAGGTGTTAACAAGCCATCCGAGAGATGTAATCTCTCCCTGGTCTGCCCTGGGGCCTCCTCCGGACTTTCCTGGAACACCTCACCTGGGAGACATTCAGGAGGCATCCTTTAATGTGGAGGAGTAGCAGCTCTACTTGCCACCCTAATGACCCAAATCACCCTGTCTCTAAGGCTGAGCCCACCACCATATGGAGAAAGCTCATTTCCACTGCTTATATTCACAATCTCATCTTTTTTCTGTCACCACCCAGAGCTCGTAACCATAGGCTAGGGTGGGAATGTAGATCAGCTTTGCATTTACTGCTGACACCACATCAATCCATCTGTCGATCTCCTGCTCTCTCTCCTCACTCATCAACTCGGGGCAGCAGCCCATCCCTGACCTGGAATGGGCACTCCGCCCTTTTCCAACTGAGAACCGTGGCCTCGAACTTTGAGGTTCTAATTTTTATCCCAGCCATTTCATACTTGGCTAAATTGGCTGTGAGTGATGATGGTTTTTGTTTAAGCCGCTGGCCATTAAAACCGATGTGGGGACTAGGGCTGCTCAATTAATCGAATTTTAATCTCGATTACGATC